ATACCTGATCCCATCGATACCTCATTATCACACAGGCTGGTGTGCTTCTTCTACATGGACTTGTTGCTTCTCTTCTTGATGGCTGTTTACCTTCAAGCCTTTAAGACCTCACGCTATACCTTTTGATAGCCGGGCACCATAAGCTTTCTGTACCACATTTGCTTATGTACCCATTTTGTCTTCAGCAATCGTGTTGAGAAGCTGAACATCATGGAATGCCATTTTAATAGAACGAAGTGTTCTTCCATTGAGGGAGAGCGAATGTCTATCTGCTTCCTTGAGTGGAGGGCGAATGACTATCTGCTACCTTAATACTAAACCTATAAATATATGCACAAATATTTATTTCCTCATCCTCATATATAAATATATTTACATATGTACATGCCTGTATTTAGACCTCTATAAATGTCCTTTACCACCTAGTTCTTTCCTCTATATCCTTTTGCCCCACTATCATCCTCAGCCTTCATTTGGGTTTCATTAATTCCTCTCGATTACATTCCCCTTGATCAAGCCCTACCAAGCCTCTTACACCCTCCTCACCACCGATTTTGGATCACTTGTTGTTCCCTTGTCCCTGGATTTGTTAACACCACTTCCTGTTTGCCACCCCCCCTCTGTCTCATGTCCCCCAGAAACCATTGGTCCAGTTGTTTTCTCCTCCAGATTGTCTATTCTGCCTATCTTATGTAGATAGACCGGCAGAGATAATAATATGCACTAAAAACAAGACAGAGCAAAACAAAACGACAAAAGAAAATAAAACAACAGCAAAAAAATGACCAAAAAAAGAGAAAAGCTTGTAAATAGTTCAAGGTCTGTTTGTTGACCTTTAGTAATATTTTCTGGTCGAATCTGATGGGGTTCCATGCACTGGCCCCAACGTCTATTTTTGGTATTCCCTCAGGACTTCCTTGCTCTGCAATCATTGCTGTTCTATAATACACCCTTACTGTTTTGCCTCGGTGTGGTGGGTTCAGATCAGGCACAATTCCCATGCTGTGTCGCCACTGTTGTCCCTGGCAGCGCTATGGTTCAGTGAGGGAACTTGTGTCTCATAGTAGGGCTGACCCTATGGTCCTCTCTGTGCATTGGCTGCTCTGAGCATGGATATCGTCCTCAAAGCTTGGTGGGCGAGGATTTGCTCCATTCTCTCTTCCTCCCTCTTCATTTGCTCCAGTGTGCTCTGATCAGACATGTCCCTCTCCCTGAGCTGTAGCTTAAGTGCTGTTCTCTGAAGTAAAATCTGCTGGGGGGACGGGTGACTGTCCACATAGTTGGGATTGGGGATGGCCCACAGACCTCTCTACTGGTTCCCTGCTTCATGCCTGTATGTTGCATTCACATCTTGGAGAACCTGGTTGAAGTCTGGTCCCTCTTTCCCTGTGGAGATAAAAACAATATCCTGCCCTTGGGTGGGTTAGTGCCCTGTTCCTCCATTACCCATGTCTTTTTTTTTTCTTTCCCCCCACTCCTTTTTAGTTGACTACAATATGTATCCCTGGATTTGGTCTGGCCCCTGCCATACTACCTGGACCTGATCCCAGGAATGTTTGTATATAGTAGCTTCTTCCCTATGCCCCATTTGCATTTTTTGAGCTTACTTCAGCGAACTCATGTTGTACGTGCCCTTTTGTGCTTGGCTTACTTAGCTTAGCATGATTTCCTCCAGTTCTTCCCATGAGGCCATGTGCTTCATGGGTTCATCACTGCTTTTTAGAGATGCATAGTACTCCATTGTATGTATATACCACAAGGGACTTTAATAGTGATAGAAATACCATATTGATTCAGGGTAGGGCTGCATGGCTGATTATTCTCATTGCTGTCAATAGCAGTACATTTGTAAAAATGTTAAATAGGTAAAAACTGCACAATAGATATATTTACAACAACGACCAAAAAAGTTACTACTGAGGCTGGTTATATCATACAACCCCAAACCTCCTGGTATTTGAGTCTTTGGTTTGAAAGTTTAAGGCCTTGGTTTTGTAGGACCATTTAATTGGTCCGATCATATGTGTATGTTTAGTTCTTCCGTTCTACCGAATAGTTCATTGCATAATGTTTGGGATCTTAAATGCTTAGCAGACAACATCGAAGGTCTCTATCTGTTAGCAGAGCAGAGGAAGGAACTTCAGGAATAGGAAGAGGTTATGCAATGGGTGACCAACTGATGCTCTGGACACTGCCTCCTTTGACTGAATATTGTCATCAACATTCATGTAGAAGAATCCTAATCAAAGTCCATGACTTTCCATTGGACTCCAGACTTCTTGGAATGATGAACCACTGAAACTCTTGCCCTGAAATAATCTTTACACCTTAAACCAAAAATATCCTCTTCCTTAATACTGAGGAAGTTAGGTTTCGCTGAACTACTAGAAGCATCTGCCTGCAGCATTAAACTCCTTTAAGAATGGTTATATAGGCTCAAAATGACCGTAACAACACGGTTGTTTAGGGGAAGTGAATTTAAATTAATGGGAAAGAATAACTCAGGAAAGAAAGTTGGGAATGGTTGTAAAATGTAATCAATATGACTAAATATAGGTAGAAACTGTGCATTGGTGTATATTTTGCTGTGTTTGTTCTCAACAACAGCAATTAAAAATTTTTAAGTAATCTCAGTTTCTCACATCATGCCAACATTGAGCGGTTTCAGACATTTCATCCATATGAGTTCACCTATCTGGAACCAGACATGCAAAAAGGAAAGGGCATGGAACAGAGAGGGCAGTAGCGACTTACTGGAGTCCAAATCTGTAATTTGGTGTTGGTGGTGGTGCAGTGGTGATTACTTTTTCTTTAGCAAAAAAGCAAATATGCAGAAAGTGACCATTTGTTGAATATGAACGGTGGGTCTGCAGAAGTCCATTGTTTTTAGGACGTTTCTATACATTTCCAGTACTCAGCATTATTTTTTATTTCATACGTATTTTTAATTAAGAACTTAAATAAACAAAAACCTGTGCTTTATATAAAATGAAGTGTTAAGTGTGAGATTTTCTGCTAAGTCTTTAAAATTATTCCTTTCTTTCCTTAAAAAAAAATTTACTCAAAAAAGAAGAAGGAAAACAGAGGGACAGTTCACTGGTTACCTTTGCCCCAAATGACCACCCACCCATGGAGTATTTCCACGGTGCTTGACTCAGTCCCACAGTGCCAACTAACCGCCCCACATGTGGTGTTAATATCACCTTTTCTTTCCCTAAGGGTGGTTTTCACCACTGTGGTTCAGCATTTGGTTGATAACTGAAAGGTCAGGGGTTCAAAGCAACTCATTGTTCCACAAGAGAGAAATGACAGTCTGCTTCCATAAAGCTTACAGCCTTGAACATCCAGAGAACAGGTCTCTCCCGTTGTACAGCACTCTCTGTGAGTCAAGATTGGCTCAAGGGGAACAGGTTGAGTTTGGGGGAGGGGTGGTCTAAACTAAACAGAACATAAATTGCAAAGAGAGCCTATACTTGTAATAACGCTATGAGCTTCATGGAATATTGTAAACTTAATGCTAGAAGATTCTTAGAGTGTTTCTTGATAGTTCTCTTTTACTTTTGTACTGTGAACAAGATACATAACTTTTCTTTAATATGGAAGGAATAGGGAACTTTTCTCTAACAGAGGTGCATCTGGCCACCAGGACATGAAAAACCCAATGGCAGGCATGTAAGTGATTCAGAGTCACCTGGGTGGTGTTTCCCGGGAGGCCCACAGAGGATGAGCCAGTTAGGGGGAACTTGGTTAACTGAACACCTCAGGGCACTTGACAAATCCAGAACATAGGGAACAAATAGCGAGAAATGGTACCATCCCAACTCTACTGCCCGCAGAACTAGTCCTCCCTCTGTCAGTTGAGGAAGGGAAGGGTTAAAATCGGTTTAGTTACATATTTGAGGTCAAGATAACTCTTCTGCTAGGTTGCTTTAAGAAAACAAACAAACAGAGTCCACCCTGACTCGTGGAGACCCATGTGTTACAGAGTCAAGCTGCTCCACCAAGATTTCTTGGCTGTGTCTTCCCAGAAATAGATCATCAGCCCTTTCTTCTTCCATACCACTGGGTGGGACTGAACCAACAGCCTTTGGGTAGTAGCCAAGACCAAACCATTTGTGTTACCTAGGGACCTCTAGGTTGATAAATCCATTGTTGTCCGGTCAAGTTCAACTGATGGTGACCTGTCAGGAGAGTCCAAGGGCCCCATAGGATTTCCAAAGCTGTCATCTACACTGAAATGGCCCAGTCACCTCTTCCTCCTGCAGAGCCGCTGGTGGGTGTAAACAACTGCCCCTCCAGTTAGCACCAAAGCGCTTTTAACCACGGCATCATTAGGGCTCCTTTCCAGGGTGACACTTTCTATGAATTTTCCATACTTATTGCTCGTAATGAAGGGCTGTGTCTCGTTTTAGTCATTCCACATCTACCAAGAGAGAGTTCAAGTAAGCTCAAATGCTGATCCGAGGGATGAGGGGAAAAAATGCAAAGCAAGAATTATACCGTGGCTTTGCCATGGCTGTCGGGCAGCTCCGCCTCTGTAAAATGGGAACTAGGGCATTGCATGTGAGGACTGACATATAAAAAGAAATGCTTCGCACACATAAGGGTCAACTGATGTTAATTGTAATTGTCTTTAATTTTAATCAGCAACCACAAAAAAGCCAGACTCACTGCCATTGAGGCCATTCAGACTCATAGCAACGCCCTGGGAAAGGGTAGAGCCCTCCTGTGTGTTGCCCAGACTGTAACTTCTTATGGGAGTTGAAAGTGCTCTCTCTCTCCCACAGAGCAAATGGTGGCTATCAACTGCTGACCTTGTGGTTCCCAGCCCAACACATAACCCATTAGGCCAAAGGAAGAAGAGTACTAGGTCTTGAGCCACGTCCACAGCATTTATTCTCCATAAGCGTTACAGCCAAGTATATAGTTCTCACCGAAGGGGCCAGGTTTCAGACACCCTGCATTCTGCTCCTAAATTCTTCTCTCTCATCCCATTGCAGCTAGCTCCACCCTGAAGAAGCGGTTCAAGCGGCGGGAGATTGAAGCCATCCAGTGCGAGGTACGGAAGATGTGCAACTACACCAAGATCCTGTCCACCAAGAAGAACTTGGACCACGTGAACAAGATCCTGAAGGCCAAGCGGCTGCAGAGACAATCAAAGACAGGCAACAATTTTGTCAAGAAGAGGAGAGGGCGTCCCCGGAAGCAGCCTACCCCGTTTGATGAGGACTCCAGAGACCAAATGCCGGTGCTGGAAAAATGCATCGACCTCCCCAGCAAAAGGGGCCAGAAACCCACCCTGAGCCCACTAGTGTTGGAGCCAGCCACCAGCCAAGACACCATCATGGCCACTATCGAAGCGGTCATCCACATGGCCCGGGAGGCCCCACCCCTTCCCCCACCACTGCCCCCACC